GCACGTCGCTGCTCAGCGTGACTACGAGTTGCTCTCTCTAGACTTTAGTACAGCTTTCTTGCAGGGCAGCCTGCATGAGGAGATCAGGCTGCGCTGCCCTCCTGGCTTCACGGGGTCGTTTCCTGCAGGTACCTCCGGCGGCCAACCTATGGTCTCTGCCAGGCGCCTTGCGAGTGGCACGACACACTGAGGACTACACTTGCGGCTCTTGGGTTTACTCCTTCTACTGCTGACCCGTCGCTGTTTCTCCGCACCGACATGTCACTGCCGCCGTTCTACGTCCTTGTGTACGTCGACGACCTCGTCTTTGCCCCTGCTGACACTGAGGCACTGACCCTTGTGAAGTCCGAGCTGCAGAAGAGACACACCTGCATTGACCTGGGTGAACTGCGCAGCTATCTTGGTTTGCAGATCACTCAAGTCAGACACGGCGCACCATCATTCTGACTCAGTCACACATGGTGCACCAGGTCCTTCAGCGCTTCGGCTTCCAGTTCTCCTCGCCACAGCCCACTCCTCTGTCTACCGGCCACTCACTCTCAGCTCCACCTTCGGACGAGTCCGTAGAGCCGAGTGATCCGTACCCAGAGCTTGTGGGTTGCCTCATGTACCTGATGACGTGCACTCGACCTGACCTCGCGTACCCTCTCAGCCTCCTGGCTCGCTACATGGCTCCCGGCAGGCACTGAAAGGTGCACTGGGATGCTGCAAAGAGGGTACTGCGTTACTTGTGTAGTATGTCAGGGATTGGGCTCGTGCTTGGAGGACGGGGTCCAGTTGTCCTCACTGGTCACGCAGACGCTTCTTGGGTTGACGACTCAGCTACGCAGCGGTCGTCACAGGGTTACACCTTCAGCCTTGGTTCTGGCTCGGTTTCCTGGTGGTCTACCCGCTCGTCTTCGGTTCTCAGCTCTAGTTGTGAGGCTGAGATCTACGCAGGGGCCATGGCTGCACAGGAGCTACGCTGGCTCACCTACCTGCTGACTGACTTGGGAGAGTAGCCTCGTTTGCCTCCAGTTCTGTACATTGACAACAAGGCCATGATTGCCTTGTGTCAGGAGCATAGACTTGAGCACAGAACGAAGCACATCGCTCTGTGATACTTCCTTGCTCGAGAGTTGCAGCAGCGTGGCCAGCTTCGTCTTGCGTACGTGGCCTCTAGGGCCAACACTGCTGATATATTCAGCAAGGCACTTCCGCCTGGTGATCATCAGCGCTTCTCTACTGTGTTAGGCCTTGTGCCTACTTAGCCTCACTTGCTCACTGCGTGACTTTGCTTGTACTATGATCTATATATATACCTGCATGCTTACACTTGCTAGGGTATGATCACTGTATTGTTTGTTCTCGTTTATATAACTCTGCATGTGAACCGGCCTTGTGGCCCTTTGCTTGGGCTTGGACTGTGTGGTGACTTTGTTATCCACCCTAAGCTTGTTTTGCTTTTCTTGACTGGTCTTGTGACCACTTTTTCTCCCCCACTTTGCCTATGGGGGTGTGTCAGAATGTTATAGTGCTTATATTTGTGTAGGCTATAGTGGGGTAGCCCATAAGGGGTACAACCCAATTAGGGTTAGTTTTTGTACCTAAATGTTTCTCATTCAATATTTTGACAGCACCAAGAATCTAAGCAAAGCTACGATCACTCCTAGTAGTTTGTGCCAACCCCCGTAGTCTAGCTCACTATCGTTGTAGAGTGACTCTCCGCAAGCGACACTAGAGGCCATCAGAGAAGCAGGACTGGCCTGTCACCCGAAGAAGTGTGAATTCGGCGGCAGTCCGGTGAAGTACTTGGGTTTCGAGGTGCAAGGAGGAAGGATGAGCATCCAACAAGCCAAGGTGGAAGTGCTAAACCGAGTGCCTACACCCAAAGAGAGGACGACACTCAGGGCAGTGCTGGGCTTCTTGAACTACTACCGCAAGTTCGTGCCCAACTTCAGCCGAACGGCAGCAGCACTAAATCGGCTGCTACGAGAAGATCAGGCCTGGCGATGGGGAGAGGCAGAGCAGGGGGCACTGGAGGCACTGCTCAACGCGGTAAAGATGGCCTCAGTGTTAACACTACCCAGCAAGGAAGACCCCTTTGTTCTCTACACCAACTTGAGCCATATTGTGTCAAGAAAGGGAAGGGCAGGAGATGGTAGTAGCCTTTGCCAGCAGGGGCTGCAACCCCGCAGAGGCCAACTAGTGCTCCTATGAGGGAGAAGGACTAGCAGCAGTGTGGGGGGTCACCCACTTCCGCGTATACTTGCAAGGCAGGCCCTTCACCCTGGTGAAAGACCACCAACCCTTGACCTGGCTGATGACGAACCAAACGCTTACAGGCCGAAATGCCAGGTGGGCGATGCGGTTGCAGGAGTAAGAGTTCACCATCCGGCACTGACCTGGGAAAATGCTGCAGCATGTGGACGGCGTGTCCAGAAACCCACCATTGAGCAGCCCAACCACGTGTCTGGTTGCATTAGCTAGAGAGATAGACGGGGAAGGAGCCAGGAAGAAGCAGGATCGAGGGCCAGACGACGTGTGGGAGGATGAAGAAGTGCTGAGCTGGATTCAGGGCAATACAATAGAAGCAAAGCCAGCCAGCAAGCAAGCAAGAGCAAGGGGAGTGCATTACAGATGGTACCAAGAGCAGCTGTAGAAGAACACGAAGGATGGGTGGAAACTGGTGCCGAGGAAAGAAGAAAGGGAAGAGATAATAGCCAAGGTGCATTGAAGGCTGGGGAACTACGGAAGCTTGAGGATCAGCCAGCTAGTAGAGACAGGATGGTGGTGGGCTGGAATGAGGAGAGAGATAAAGGAATGGGTGGTGTCGTGCGAGCTGTGCAGCAGGAACAAGGCAGAGCTGGAACGGGGAAGAGAAGAGTTGCAGTCACTTCCGATATGAGGTTGGGGTTCAGGTGGTCTCTAGACCTGGCGGGAGAGATGCCTCTGAGCCACAGAGGAAAGAGATACATACTCATCATGATAGAGCATGGGAGCAAGTGGGTAGAAGTGAAGGCTGTGCCCAGCAAGAACTCAGCAAAGTTAGCAGAGGCGTTGGAAGAGCAATTCCTCACCAGACTCGGCGCATGTGGAGAAGTCCTAACAGATCAAGGGACGGAATTCATGGGAGAGTTCGAGAAGTTGCTACAGGCAACAGGAATCACACATAGGAGGACATCACGGTACCACCCCCAGAGTGACGCGCTCACAGAGAGGTTTGTCTAGACCATGAAGCGGGGACTGAAGGCATACGGAGAGAAATTCAAGCGTGACTGGGACTCACGACCGCCATGGGTAGCAGCAGGATACAGGTTCAGAAAACAGGTGGCACTGAAGGACTTGTCTCCCTACTACCTCCTACTGGGAAGAGAACCCATACTGCCAGTAGATGCGCCAAAGCTGCTGACAGGAACAATGACAGTGGCGTCAGAAGAGAATTGGGTGGGGCTGTCAGAGGCACGGGCCAGGTACTTGAGAGAATTGCTACCAACAGCACTAGAGAACCTGCACGTGGCCCATCTCAGAGACGCACAGCGATACAAAAAGAGAAGAGAGGGCATGGGAGCAAAGAATGAGAAGCAATTGGGAGTGGGGGAGGAGGTGTATCTGAAGCAAGCGAAGCATGACTTGCTGGGCATAGGCCTCAGCAACGAACGCTGGAGTGTCAGAGAAATGAGGAGTCAGGGGTGGTGGTGCTAGTAAGCGAGGCAGGGAAGGAGAGGAAAGACCACCAGACCAACGTGGCCCAAGCCAGACCAAGAGGAGGAGGAAATGAAGACACAGCAAGGTGTTAGATAGTAGCGAGAATGACGAGAATGATTTACTAGGAAGCAAGGAAGGGTACAAGTACAATGTCGAGAGAGATTGTGTACCCCCTAAGGCTAAACCCACTATCGCCTAGATAACTGTAAACACATAAACACATATGTTTGACACACCCCCATAGGCGAAGTGGGGGATAGCAAGAGCAAGCAATGGTCACAAGACCAGTCAAGAGAAGAAGCAAAGCAAAGTAAGCTCAGAGTGGATCACAAAGTCACCACACAGTCCGAGCACAAGCAAAGGGCCACAAGGCCAGTTCACATGCAGAGTTATATAAAGAGAGCAAACAATACAGTGATCATACCCTAGCAAGTGCAAGCATGCAGGTATATATTTAGATCACAGTACAGGCAGAGTCAGGCAGTAAGTAAGTGAGGCATAGTAGGCACAAGGCCTAACACAGTAACAAAGCGCTGATGATCACCAGGCGGAAGTGCCTTGGTGAAGACATCAGCAGTGTTGGCCCGAGTGGCCACGTACGCAAGGCGAAGCTGACCACGCTGCTGCAACTCTCGAGCAAGGAAGTATCGCAGAGCGATGTGCTTCGTTCTGTGCTCTAGTCTGTGCTCCTGACACAAGGCTATCATGGCCTTGTTGTTTACGTACAGGACTAGAGGCGAACGAGGCTGCTCTCCCAAGTCGGTCAGCAAGGAGGTGAGCCAGCGTAGCTCCTGTAAAGCCATGACTTCACAAGGGTCAGTGCTGTTACAATACTAAGTTAACTAGAGTACGGGTTTAACTAAGGGGCCTAGGCTTAGTAGCCTAGGCCAAACGGGTGTCGAGTAGTTTGTGCCAAGGAGAATTGAGAATGGTTAGAGGTTCAGTATAGCACACGAGTACATATAGCAACCTAACAAAGATGAAAGAGGTGCACCACCATACAAGGGAATTACACAACAGCTATACTACAGGCAGATTATGCTAAATAGATATAAATCTATTGTGACACACCCCCTATCTGCCTGAAGTGCATAACCATGTGCAGAGCCCCCCTTGAAGGGGTACGCCTGTAAAACCCCATTACAAGGCGTGGGAACACCAGCAAGGGGCCCCCTCTGAAGCTGACAAGCAGCAACCACCAAGCAGCATCTGAACCACCGCGGTGGAACAGGTGCTCGGCTGCGGTTGAACGCCCCGCAGCTGGTGCACGGTGTGCGAGGAGCACGGGTACGGGTAGCGGGTTCGGGTAGCAACTAGGTGCTGTACGGGACGGGCCGTACGGGGGTGACGGGCAGCACGAGACCGGGCAGCACAGACCGGGTGGGGCACGAGCGAGAACTGACAGCACGGGTGGGGCACGAACGGGTACGGACAGCACGGGTAGGGCACAAACGAGCAGAACGGGGCAGCACGGGCAGAACGGGGCAGGACACGGGCTGAACGGGGCAACACGGGCAGAGCGGGGCAGGACACGGGCTGAACGGGGCAGGACACGGGCTGAACGGGGCAGGACACGGGCTGAACGGGGCAACACGGGCAGAACGGGGCAACACGGGCAGAGCGGGGCAGGACACGGGCTGAACGGGGCAACACGGGCAGAACGGGGCAACACGGGGACAACGGGGCAGCACAGGCAGAACGGGGCAGGACAAGGGCTGAATGGGGCAACACGGCACGGAAACGGGCACGACACAGGCAGAACGGGGCAGCATGGGGGCAGCATGGGAACACGGGGGCAGCACGGGAACACGGGGACAGCACGGGAACACGGGGACAGCACGGGAGCAGCACGGGAACATGGGGACAGCACGGGAACACGGGGACAGCACGGGAACACGGGGACAGCACGGGAACACGGGGACAGCACGGGAGCAGCACGGGAACACGGGGGGCAGCACGGGAGCACGGGGGCAGCACAGGAGCACGGGGGCAGCACGGGAAGCACGGGACGCACGGGTGAAACGGGTGGGGCACAACCGGGTACGGACAGCATGGGTGAAACGGGTGGGGCACAACCGGGTACGGACAGCACGGGCACGTGGAACACGAGCGGACAGCACGGGCATGGGCACGGGGCAAGCACGGGGAACTCGGGGCAGACAGCACGGGCACGGGCACGGGGCAAGCACGGGGAAGTACGGGCAATACGGGAGGAACGGGGCAGGGGATGAGAGGAGGAGGCGGCTGATGCTGCATATGAACTCTCACCACCCACACCCCCTGAACCTTTCCCCCCACAGCAGCATTGACGGAGAAAGAGAGGTGGAGGTGTAGTGGCGGTAGGTGCTGCAGCTGAATCACCCACCCCCTCAACCTCCCCCCCAACAGCAGCAGATGCAGGAGTGAGAAAGAGGAGGAGGGGGTGGCTGGTGCTGCAGCTGGACTCACCCACCCACACCCCCTGATCCAGCAGTGGCGGAGAGAGAGAGGGGGAGGTGTGGCGGCAGTAGCTGCAGATGGATCACCCACCCCCTCAACCTCCCCCTTACATGAGCCGCCAACCCCGCCACTCCCCCTCCCCCAGCCGTCCCCTTTGGGCCACACCTCCTCCCCTTCCCGCTGGAAACGGAGCCGGAGATGGGGGTGGGGCGGCAGTTGTCGGTGGGGGGGGGCGGGATCTGGGGCAGAACGGCGGTTTGGGTGCAGGTACGGGGTGCGGACGGGTCTCGCGGACGGGGGCACGGACGTCGTGCGTGGTGCGGATGGCGTACGGGCGGCGGGCGGGGTGCGGGGTGCGGGTGGAGTACGGGCGACGGGCGGGGTGTGGGGTGCGGGTCGTGGACGATATGGCGCGTGCAAGGGCATAGCAGTAGCTTCTCCCGCCATTCCCTTCACAGCAGTTGCGAAGTCGACGGGAGGGCGGGCGGGGACCTGGCGACGGGCAGCGGAGAGCGTACGGGTGGCGGGGATCTGGCGACGGGCGGCAGTGCGACGGGACGGGCTACGGGCTGCAGCAGCGGATATCGCGCGGGCGGCGGGATGCAGTTGCGGGTAGCGCGTCGGCGACAGGCATGCTGGCGGGTTCGTCGGTGGGCTGACTCGTGCGCTGGCGGAACCGACGGCGGGTCCGTCGGCGGGTTTGCTGACGCACGCGTTGGCGGGTCGGCTGGCTCGCTTGCTGGCGGGCTCGCGGGTCCGATGGCGAGCTCGCTGGCGGGTCCGTCGGCGGGTTCGTCGGCGGGTCCGTCGGCAGGCTTGCTGATGCGCGTGCTGGCGGGTCCGTCGGCGGGTCCGCTGGCTAGCTTGCTGACGGGTCCGCGGATCCGCTGGCTCTCTTGCTGGCGGGTCCACGGGTGAATTGGGGCCGTAACGGTAGGGCGCGACGAGCGCCCTCGCGCAGGTCGTCGTCGCTAGCGCAGCAGCAGCGGGACAGCGAGCCGGTGGGACGACGGGCGAGCGACGGGTGGGGCCAGCGATGCGCGTAACGGGTTGCACAACGGCCCGATCGACGGGGCGCGCCATAGCAACAGACGGTGGTGGGCCCATTGACTTAGGTGTAGGATCTTAGTAGCTCTGATACCATGTTACAATACTAAGTTAACTAGAGTACGGGTTTAACTAAGGGGCCTAGGCTTAGTAGCCTAGGCCAAACGGGTGTCGAGTAGTTTGTGCCAAGGAGAATTGAGAATGGTTAGAGGTTCACTATAGCACACGAGTACATATAGCAACCTAACAAAGATGAAAGAGGTGCACCACCATACAAGGGAATTACACAACAGCTATACTACAGGCAGATTATGCTAAATAGATATAAATCTATTGTGACAAGTGCCTCAGTGTCAGCCGTGGCAAAGACGAAGTCGTCGACGTACACAAGGACGTAGAACGACGGCAGCGAGGTGTCGGTGCGTAGAAACAGCGACGGGTCTGCTGTAGAAGGAGCAAACCCAAGAGCCGCAAGTGTAGTCCTCAGTGTGTCGTGCCACTCGCGAGGCGCCTGGCGGAGACCGTAGACTCGCCGGCGGAGGCTCAACTGGGTACCTGCAGGAAACGACCCAGTGAAACCAGGTGGTCGGCGCAGCCAGATCTCCTCGTGCAGGCTGCCCTGCAGGAAGGCTGTACTGAAGTCCAGGGAGTGTAACTCGTAGTCACGCTGAGCAGCTACGTGCAGCAACACCCGAAGAGTAGTCATCTTCGGGGTGGGGGAAAAGGTCTGGAAGTAGTCAACTCCCTGTCGCTAGCTGAAACCTCGAGCAACATAACGCGCCTTGAAGGCAGGCAGAGAACCCGGCGGCTCACGACGCTCTGTAAGACCTCCAAACTGCTCAGTGTAAGGAGAGGGAACAGGCAGTGGTGAGGCTGGCTATAACAGCGGCTGCGACTAGTCAGGCGGTGGACACAGGAAGGGAGGAGGAAGACTGGTAGAAGACGGGACACCAAGAATCTGCTGAAGCAAGGGAACGAAGTACGGGCGCGGCCGTACAGTGCCTCCAGCACCTCCAGCTCCTAGGGCCAAGAGCTCCAGCTCCTGCAGCTCCAGCGCCTCCTGCGCCAGGGCCTCCAACTCTAGTTACACCAGCTCCAACGCCTCCGGCGTTAGCTCCTCCAGGCTCCGTAGGGTCTCCAGCTCCAGTAGTAACAGCAGCACCTCCAGCTCCAAGGTCTCCAGGCTCGCCAGCTCCGGGAGCTCCACTCCGACGGAGTGCGCGTTGAAGAAGCCACTCACGCAGCTGCTGCGAGGACAGTCGTGGTGAAGCACCAGCAGTACCTCCAGACGAAGCAGCACCCCGAAGCTCAGTACCCCCAGACTCCGCACCCTCCGACTCAGCACCCCCAGGCTCAACACCCTCAGGCTCAGCAACCCCAGACCCAGCACCCTCAGACCCCGCACCCCCCGGCTCCGCACCCCCAGACGCAGCACCCCCAGATGCAGCACCTAGAGCAGCAACTAAGACAACAGCTACGTGAACAAGTGCAGTACCAGGGAGAGGGTCTACCTGAGACACTCCCGAGGGAGCAGGGCCCTGGGGCGGGAGGGGGTCTACCGGAGGCGGACCGGGACCAAGGAAGAGCGGCGGGGGCGGGGGAGGGGCAGAGCGGTAGGGGAAGAGACGGTAGAAGGGAACCGACTCGTCGAACGACACGTCCTGAGAAGGGAGGACACGATGCAAGGTGGGGTGGTAAAACTTCCAGCCAGGCGCGTCAGCGACAAAGCCAAGGAAGACGCAGGGAATGGCGCGGGCGGAGAGCTTGTCCGCGGACGTATCGCGAACAAAGGCACGAGAACCCCAGACCCGGAACACCGACGCATCGCCAACCTTCCCCGTCCAACGCAGTGTGGGCGAGGTCTCCGGCAAGGAGACACAGGGCCAAAGGTTTAGCTGATGCGCAGCGTACCGCGCAAACAGCCACAGAAAATGGGGAGCGGCCGCATGGATCATGGAGGTACGAGCGACCTCCATGACTAAGCCAACGCGGCGCTCAGCAATCCCATTTTGCTGAGGGGAGTCCGGAAGCGTGAACGACTGGGTGATGCCCTCCCCACGACAAAAATCCCGCAAGAGGTCGGAGGAGAACTCGCCACCTCTGTCAGAGTGCAGACGCAGGACAGGAAGGTCCTGGCCGAACCGCTTGCGCAGCTGGAGATGGACTGTGCGGATCCAAGGGATCAAGACAGCAGAGACCTCACCCTTGCTGCGCAAGGGGAAGACTATGGTGTACCGCGTGTAGTCGTCAACTACCAGCAGAAAGTAGCGCTCGCGGCTCTGTCCACTGACGCGGGCTGGGCCCCACACGTCCATGTGGAGGGTCTGCAGGGGAGTAGTCGTCGGGGGAAACGAGGAGGAGTGAGGAGCGGCGCGCTGCCGCCCCTCGACGCAAGGAAGACAGGGCGGGGCAGGCGAGGGCGGTAAGGGAGGCAGAGACCTGGGGAGACCAGAGACAAGAAGACAGGAGTGCATGCCACGAAGGCGTGGTAGGGAGGGGTGACCCAGGCGGTGGTGCCAAAGAAGAGTCTGGTGCGACTGAAGGCGACACGAGCAAGAGGCGGCTACCTCACCTGACGCGGACACCTGAGCAGACGCGGCGACCTGAGGAGGCTCAGTAGCCAGTGTGTATAGACTCGACCCTTGCCGACGAGTGAACGTAGCCAGGTGACGCCCCGTCCATGTGCACGTGCAGATTGACACACGCTGACCCCCCGGAGTGGTGGTAGTGACCATCGCATCCTGAAGGGCAGCGGTACTCACCAAGTTCGTAGAGAACGAGGGGAGGTGAAGACCTGATAGTGAGCTGGACGGAACCGCCGGACACGGGAGGACAGTGGAGGAACTGGCCACGACCGGGCCCCCAGAGGGGTCAGCCTGTCTGACTGGAACAGGTGCAGGAAGAGAGGTGAGAGTGGTGCTGTCACGAAAGAAACAGCGCGAGGCGCCGAAGTCCAACGTGAAACTGTGCAAGGCCTAAGCAGGCGCAGTACCAGGGGGAGTACAAGACGCACGAGCACCTAGAGCAGCAGCGGCTATACCTGGGTCAGGCAGCACACACCCGTAACAGTCACCCTCAGCACTAAAAGACAAAGCATACATGGCAGAGATAATAACATCAAAGTCTAGGTCAAAAATAGCAACTCCTGACTGAAGCAACTGCGCCCAGCGAACGCGCTCAACGTCATCACCAAACTCAGCACGCCAGGCGTCGTCAAGGCGGGCAAAGCAGCGGCGCTCAGTGTTAAACCTCCCGCATGTCCGGCCCGCACGAGCACCCGTGCGAATGACATGCGGGCAGGTCTCACTACACTCACCCGCCCCATGCTGAACCAGCCACTCACGGAGCTGCTGGGGCGTCTGGGTCTCGCTCCGACGCTGCTGGTGCTGGCCCCGACCACCACCAGGGCCTTCACGCTGAGGTCGAGACCGACCACCACTGGTCCCACCGCCTCCACTGCCGCCACTCCCTCCGCTGCCTCCACCGCCGCCACCAGAGCCTCCACCGCCGCCACCGGTCCCACCGCCTCCACCACCTCCACCGCGTCCACCTCCTCTACCGCTGCCCCCACTACCGCTCCCACTGCCACCTCCACCACCACCGCTGCCTCCTCCACTACCTCGTCCACCCTTGCCCTTGCTGTTGCGGCGCTTCATACTAGTCGAAGCAGCACCGACGTCCTCAGGAACAGAGACGTCTGCAGCAGCAGCAGAGGCGAAGGAGGAGGAAAGGGGGGAGGGGGAGCACCCCTCAAAGAAGGGTGATCGCGGAGTACCACGAGCAGCACCTACAGCAACTGCACTAGTCTCAGCTGCGAGGAGATGCTGCTCGAGGAGGGCAACAGTGAGGGAGGTGGGGACGAGGGTGAGGAAGTGGTCTCTGACAGAGCGAAGGGAGTCAGGGAGGCGAGTGACTATGAAGTAGAGGGTGATGAACATGGGAGGCTGGTTCGTGGGAAGGAACTCAGCAGGGACGGCAGCGCGGTAGCGAGCGTCGCTAGTGCGCAGGTGGGTAACCAGGTCGGCTACTGTGGCAAAAGCCGACAGCTCAGGGAACAGGTAGGGCAGTAGCAGCTTGCCAATGGCAGCGGTGGCAGGGGAGGAGTAGCGAGCAACTACAGCGTCGTACAGGGCCTGTGCTGTCCTGTGCTCGCCAAAGTGAGCACATTCGGTCGCGGGCAGGTGGTTGCGAA